GCACTTCTACAAATTCACAAACTTCTTTTTTCAAAGCGCCTCCAAGATCTGCCTTAGATGATCCAAATGGTCAACATCCATTTGACTATAAATAAGAATATCATAAAAAATACTTGATAAGTTGCTCAATAGAAAGATGAAGCACCTGGCTCATACCGCTTGTAAACGTATTCAAGGCATTAGAGTCAGACAGTCCAAAACGACATCTCAAGCTGCTCATACAAGTAGGGGTGGCAACCCCGACCGGGTCAACCTCGACCGGGATACGGACCTGATCTGACTAGGGAGTTGATTTGACTAGGTTTCATTCGGACTTGAGCCCGAGGCAGGTCTAAGTAACTTGGATCTGGACCTAACTCGGACCTAAGTTGGATAGAAGTCATTTGGACCTGGATCATGAGTCTAGAAATTAAAAAAAAGTTCTTTTATATATAATTTAGTATATATTTTATATCAGGGGTCGGTCCCTTGACCCGATCTGACCCACCATTATTTTAAAAAAGGTCCGCCCGGCTCCTAAGCGCCCGCCTAGGCAGGTTGGACCAAAATACCGCATGCTTAGACCCAGGCGGCCCTACATGGGCCGATGTACCTGGGCAGGCGAGCCAGGAGGGTGCCTAGGGACGTTGGTTTTTTTTTTTTTTTTTTAAAAAATGCCCAAAAGGGAAAATGGAGTAATTTTGACCCTCAAAAAGGTTTAAATAGGTTATGGGGGTTATTTTCAAGCCCCAAAGATAAAAGAAAAATTTCATAAAGCCTCAATCTCTTAGCTATACCTGTTTCTGAGAATCGAAAGTATTTTTTGTGGATTGAAGAAGCTTCCTAAACATTTTCACTTATTATGAAATATGGAAAGTTCCACTATAACTAATACATATCCTATTAGACTTCTAAATTTTGTATGGTTTGAATTTTGAAATTTTGAACAAGTTTATTCTCAACATGTGATGCATATGTTTGTAAATAAAAAAATGTTACAATATTTTCAAATGTAATAAATTCTAAATTTGACACAAAGATATGTATATAAACCACATATCTATATAACTTGTACAACAGGGCGCCCAAGGTTTTGGGTGCCCGCCTGGGCGTTGGGCACCAAGCCAGCAGCCTAGGTGTCGCCTAGCGTTTTTTGAAACCTTACGACCCACCCCATCCCCAGTTTCGGACCCGGACCCAAGTCGGGTCTAAGCCATTAGGACCTACACCCAACCTGCCGGGTCCCGATTGCCAACCCTACATACAAGCGTATGTAGGGTTTTGAAATCAATTGTAGAAAAGGCTTTTGACCTTGTCAACATATCAAGTGTATCATTGAGATGAGGGATAAAAAAGTGATACTTGACTGTAATCTCATTAATGGCCGTACTATCTACATATCAGCTAAGAACCATCTTTCTTTGGTGTCAAACAGGCAGGAAGAACACATACTTAAATCTCTTTTGGATGAATCCCTTATTCAATAATTTAGTTACCTGCGTATGCAATTCTTCATGTGCTTTAGTACCTATACAATAATGTGGCACATTATGAAGAGTAGCATCATCAGGGACAAATTAATAAAATACTTAATGTCTCTCGTTGGGGTAAACTATCTGGCAACTCCTCAAGCGTAACATATATAAACTCCTCAATCAAGGGTATAACATGGGTAGGAATAGAAGTAAAACAAGAGTACTCTTTAGATACCAATGTATACATTACCCCAGCCTGCTTTTCTCAGGAAACCCACTTAAAGAGACTATAACCTCTCCCGCCCCCGTCTTAGGTTCAGGCGCATTATCCATCTTTATGGTTGTGAGATAATCATAACTTCATCCTTCCAAAAATTATATGTACTGTGCTTCCTCTGGTGTATAGCAGAATGGTAATACTGCCATGGGTTACCTAATAGTATATGACTTGCATTCATAGGCAACATGTCACACCACATTTCACTCATGGTTTTCCCACTGAATAAATTGACCAAGCAATGGGACTTCACAAGGGTTTTGTTACTGCTTTTGAACCACGAGATTTTCTATGGCTAAGGATGTTCCTCACACTTTGATTTTAGCTTATCCACGCTGCAACTTCCACTGTCCATTATCATCATGCATACCTCACCTTGGGCCTTACATCCCATGCGCAAACATATTGGCTCTTTACCACCTTTAGTGCTGATAAACACTGCCTGGTTAGACCTTGCATTAATTTCACCTTAGAAATACCTCATCCCAATCATATATGTGTGTCTGTGCCTGCCTTGTAGGGCACTCAAAATATTGATGCGAAGGCTCCCCACACTTAAAACACTTCAACCCCAGATGTTGAATTTGAAGGGGCTTATTTACCTTGAGACTTTTTCCTACCTTGGATCCTCACAAGAATGAGAGCTTGAGCCAACTGTCTATGGTTGTTTTTGATTTTGCATCTTGTCCTCAACTGTAGGAGCGATTTAATGCTTCAACTCATTTCAACTTTTAAGGCCAATTGACATGCTTTTTCAAGTCTGAAAATTCGATGCCTGATTAACCCGTATTGAATCTGAATTTTCAGGCCTCTCACATACCTTGCAATGAACCTGGTCGTCATTCTTTTGGATCTTGTTTCGGCTTATCAAAAGAAAGAAGTCATATTTGTGCTCATGCACGCTCGAATCCTTTTGTCAAAGATGATGAAGTCTCTAATATAATATTGGTTCATAATTAGAGGGTATAAACTTCTCTTCTAACTCAATTTCATCTTTTGTCAAAGATGATGAAGTCTTTTGAAGAACCTTTCGTGAAACACAAGAGTGATATTCTGGAGCTGAATTGCCCCTAGGTTAGAGGATCACAACAATTATGGGCTTGACTCTTCAACCGGGTAATCACAAATTTAACCTCTCTCATTTGATAATTCTTTCCACTCAAAAAAGGTTTCAATACTAGCAATCCGATCCAAAATTTATGGGGTTGTAGTACTCGAGATAATTCAGACACATCAACCCTATCTGAAAGCTTGAACTAAATGAGCTCCAAAGCAATGGGATGTTTCTCCCTCGGTTCTAGACCGGGTTGATTGCCCATTCACTCTCAGATTTGTTACTTTTTAGTTAGCTAAACCTTTGTCTATTGATTTTAACGCACCTACGTATTGGTCCTCTAGTCTCCTTGATTGACTTTGGTGCACCTCGTGTGCCAGTTCCTCATATGAATCTCTTGTGTCCGGTTATTGGAGATCCAAATCTCCTCATTATTTTGTTTATATCTTCTTATATAATGTATCAACCACCTCGACTCCTTTAGTAGCCATAATGCAACTCTCAACACTTCTAGTGCGCTTTAGGATATGTGCCTGCTTTTATGTTAAATGATGCGAATTCGAATAACAAAAAGAAAACAAAGAAGTAATATATTGACTCAAAATTTTTTGAAAGCTAACAAAATTACCTTCAATGGCTCTGAGAATTCAATAGAGTTTTTAAGAACAATGGTTTGAAAGATAATACTCAATTCTGAATAGAAAATCCTACTCATCATCATCATGAGTCAGCTTTCATGAAAAGTTTTGGCAAAGTTTTACATTGGTTGCCTACCTAACACAACTTACCTCTTTTACCTGGGCTTAGGATGGGTTAATGGCAAGTTTATGGTCCTCACCCTTCTTAGACCAGAATAGAAAATCCTACTACAACCCCCTATTTATAGACTTCATTTAGACTCCTTAGTTTTCTAATCTTTATGTAATTAGGACTTTTAATTAAAATAGAATCCGAATTTGACACTTTTGTTGTAGACGAAATAAAATAAGACAAAACCATCCTAAAAGTAACCCTAAAATGATACCCCAACTTCGTATAGGGGTAACTTTTTACTTTGATATTGAAATCGCTTTATGACCCCATTTCAAAAATGGCATCATAAGTTGTATAACTTGAAAACCAACATCGCTGGTTTCTTCGAGTAATTGAGGTCTACGATACCTCTAAAACCGTGAATGTCAGAATTGAATTTTTTTGCATTGAGTTGGCATGCATCTATCAGCCTCAAAATTTGGGTATGTTTCATTTTTCTAATTTAAAAATTTCAAATTCAATTAAAATTAGTTTGTAATTCATTTTGGATATACTTTTTTGTCTTTTATGATTTATGCTGGTTTTTTCTTTCAGGCTTTTCATATTTTCTATTTTTTTAAGCCAATAACATCAAATTTTTTTTCTTATTACATATTTTGTATACATTTTCTGGTTCAGTGTTTTTTTTATTTTATATGAATTTTTCAACAATTTTTCAAAATTTGTTCAATTCTTTCACAATGTTTTTTTATTTTTTACCATGTTGGTCTCCTTTTCGGCTAAGGCAGGAGTTGGGCGAGTCAACTCGGACTTGCTGGAGTTGCTCAGGTTGGCATGGGGCTGTGGCCCTAGCCTGAGCTGTGAAATCAAACATTGGTTTTTTCCTATCAAAATCATGAGTTTGCTTTCGTTGTGATTACGGGGCAAATTTCATTGTTTCTTCTATTGGTGCTTTAGATTATACTTAAGAATGATGCAAATATCATAGTTGTTCCTGATGACATTCAGATTGCCTTAGGAAAAGAATATGTCATCAGAATGATTCACCAAGAACAAAGGAGTCTGAACAGCTTCTATTGGAGTGGTGTTGAGCTCCCAAGTTGGAAGTTTAAAATGACAATTCGATCCCTTAGAGGGGAGTCATTTAATTTAGTTTTGATTCGATGTTGATGATGATATTCAGATTTGAAAATCTCTCTGTTTGATTAGTTGGTTGATTTGTGTCTCAAGCTACCATATGATTGTAACATATTTTGCACATGATATATATTTACTTACTGTATTTTCCACATTATATATATTTATTTACTGGATCGTGTACATATTTTTTAAATTATTGGTAATTTCATTTTTCATGATCTATGGTGGTTTTGGTGTGTAATTGTTTTTAGATAAAGTTGGATGGGTTCGATGTTCTGTGTATGCTTGATATGATTTATATAAACTCCGCATTGTGTTGTAGTGATAGAAGACATAGGAAGAGGCAACCTGCTGATGGGCATCTTAGTGATACATCTGAAGGCCTCAAAATCTCTGCTGATGATGATTCTCGAGAAAGAGATGGAAACAACTTGGATGGAAAAGATATGCTTGAGGAACAGGTTTGAGCTATTTTGGTGGTCCTGATTCCTGCTAGCAATCGGCCTTCCATTTTCCAAATAGTATTTGGAACTATGACGATATTATCACATGGCTGGATTTCGTCAACTTTTTATTTGTGTGTGTTTATTTTGTGCAGCTAAGGCAAGCACAGCTTGACATAGATATGCTTGACGACCATAAGAACCAATTGGAGGTGTGTCTCATTTGAATCAATCATTAGTATTTCATGGTTTCCAGTTAAAGTTATGTGACGTTGCTGATGAAGTGGTTGATAATCAGATTGTGGAGGCTCATTAAGTGATGAACTTGTTTGAAATTGTCAGTTTATCTTCTTTTTAGTGATTGTCATTTTAAGTCCATTATGTAAGGCATGATAGGACTATATGTTGTCTTTCTTTTCAACACTCATCTTATGAAATCGCAAAGGTAAGCAAGCAGCATGGTGCCTTTGGATTTTATTAAAGCGTTCTATTATTAAAACATTATGAACTTCACTGTATATTCTGTGTATCATTTTGGCAGTATTATATGTGCTCTTAACTGTCACTACTCGATGATGAATGGTGGAGATTTGCTCTTATTCTACTTGAGTGGACAATGACGTTCTTGATTGTGGTCAACAGTAGTATAAGATATCCACAATTTTATGTCTTATAGTTACTACTTTTTAGTTGAATCTTCCCTTGAAATTGTCAATGCGCTAAAATTTTCTTCTTCCTCGGCCACACAAAAGTTCTTAGTAAAATGAAGAGTTAATAACTTTGTGTAGGTAGTATTTAACATTGGCCATGTTGCTCAAATGTTCTTCTATCAAGTCGACAAAAACTTTTTGGTGGGAAATTTTCTCCTTCCATGTTGAAAACAATCATGTGGTTATTGGTTGCGGCTATCATAATACTGCTGTGCAGTATTTGGTTTCATGCTCGAGTATAACTCTAAGGTTTTTCACAGAATATGTTGAATTGTGCAGTGCCTACTGTTTGAGATAGCATTTATGTGTTCTTTGTAGTTGTATAAGGTTGACTGATTTTGGGTTTAATTGCCTAAATAAGCTGGATCATCATCTCATTTTTATTGAATTTCCAAGAAATGAGATAAAATAGCATAGGATTACAGAAGATTTGCTTATTCTAAACATCTGTTTGGGTAGAGAATCGATTGACATTTAGTGTATATTAGAATATTAAATACTGGTACCAGGGCACCTTTGAGTGAGGTCCAGATATCTATGTTTTTAAGGAAAATGATGATTTATATATATTCGTGACACTTTGTGAAGATGAGATATTGTTGATTGTCATTGATTGCATATGTCTATGTTCATCTGGTTTTCCATGGAATTCTAGATCATTCTCGAGTCTAACTTCATGAGTTACTTGTTATGGTACTTCTGTCAGTGACTTCGAGTTACCTCTTATTTTTTCTATTGGTAACTTCATGAGTTCTGTTGTGTTCAAAGATGTGCCTTGAGGAGAAGGTAGAAGAAGCTGACAGTCTTTCTGCGCGAATGCACGAACTTGAATCACAATTGAACAAAGAGCAAGAAGATTGCGAGAGGTAGTTACTTTGCTATTGTGAAATACTAGGTGTTTCTAGTTCTTTGTAGAAAGGTGAGAGTTTACTTTTTTAATTGCATGACTAATTTTCTACAGGATGTCATCGAAAGTGAAGAAGTTTGTAAAAGCTTACATGCATTATATTCGAGCACAAGAGGAGCTCAAGAGGCAAGACTGAGATTCCAATTTTTGTCCCTTTCTGTGTGTATGTTTGTGCATGCATGCTTGTGTGTGTTTGCATTAGCCCGTGTGTTTACTCGGTTCATAGTTGTTGATTATTGGCTTTTCTGGCTCCCTTATAACAAAATTTCAGTAGAGTCTACCGTTAATTGGAGTCAATTTTCTATAAGTATACAAAAAATACGCCTAATTCTAGTTAAATCTTAAGGGTTTAGGTTTGGCTTCAGAATTTACAAGTACTCCTAATTCTAGTTAAACCTAGAGGGTTAAAGGTCTGGGTTTAGACTGACAGGGTTATAAAATAAATGTTACCATATTACAAGGGACCTGAGGGCATAAGGTGCTCTTGTTATCTTCGAACTGTTAAATACTCTTGACTCAGTGAAACTCTGAGATGCAATCAATCCTGGCGAATACACTTTCAAGATACAACCATGATCGGTATTTCACTTCTTGAGTTACTGGGCTGCACTCTCAATAACTTGTCTAAAACACAACTTTGAATATTGATTATGCCTTCACGTTAGTTGGGGTTTGTGGCCTTTAAATCCCATGAGAGCATGTAAATAAAAATTATTGGGGATTCTACACTTCAGTGGGAGTGTGGTGTTCGTTGACTGACCTAGGGTTAAGTGGTATATGGTCCTGGTCATGTCCAAACCCCTAACCTTAGGCATAGGGCACTACTATTGGGGGTTTTAGGAGGGTCATCACTTGTTGAGGTTAGAGAGATACCCAAAGATGGTTTGTAGGCTAGGAGAGCTTTGTGGTCTTCTGTCTGTGGATGTAGGCCCCGTGAGAGTGAGGGCTAAATCTGCAGTAAACTTCCGTACATCTTGTACACATCAATGATGTAGGCCTGTGAGAGCGAGGGCTAAATCCTCAATAAACCTTTGTACGTCTTGTACACATCAGTGTTCCAAAAAACGTGATGCCTAGGTGCCCCCCGAGGGGGGGGGGGGGGGGAGGGGGGAGGGGCATGCTGGGCGGCCAAAAAATAAGAAAATAATTGGATAAGTCATAAGTGAATGAGGAGAATTTAAATAGTCCATAAGCTATATTTCCATACAATGCTAGAACCATACAAGCATACAAACAAGAATTAGATTAGATTATAGAAACTAGAAAAAAAGAAAATATATAGCTTATGACTCAATAGTTAACACCAAGAGTCGAGCATCTTCATTCTTCAATTATCATCAAAAGGAGTAGGGTAAGCCTTATCATATGCATCAGATTTGGGGCCATCATCATTAGAGTCATCCCCCTCTTCAACATAACGTTCGTCTTCATCTGTTTCGTTTGAATCTGCCTCTTCCTCCTCTTCTTCTATCCCCTTCTTACTTTGTGCAGATGAAACCCTTGGAGTCTTGGTTGCTCTACCTGGTGCGTCTTCAACCTTTTCTTTCTTTTTGTGCTTCCCTGAACTAAAAAATTTTATAATCTCCCCGTTAGCCTCAGGAACATTTTGACACGGGGCAACGCCCCCTTTAATATCAGCAAGGTGTTTTTTGAACCGGTAAATACCCCCATTAGTATCCTTTCCACAATAATTATACGTAATACGATTTTTGTCATTTGGATTCGGGTAATGACCATACTTCCAACTTGGTTCACCACTTCTAGAAGAACCTAGATAAGTTATTTCGATAGAACAAGGCTCATTTTTCTCCCTTTTCTGGTTCAACTAAATTCAAATACAAATATTGTCTAATATCATCCTTAATAGCTTCAGTAACTTTTTACAAGAAGCAATTCCCTATAATACCAGCAAGGTGTTTCTTGAATCGATTAATACCCCCATTCGTATTTTTTTCACAAAAAATACACCTTATACAATTTTTATCGTTTGGTTTCAGGTTATAACCATATTTCCAACCCGGATCACCTCTTCTAGCAAAACCAAAAATAGACCTATCCAAATTACAAGGATTTTGTTCTTGTTTGTGTTTCACTAAACTCATGTATTATTTAATCTCCTCTTTGATTGTTTCTGGAACATTTTTACAAGGGGAAACATTCCTCCTAATATCGGCAAGATGTTTTTTAAACCGGTTTATGCCCCCTTTTTGTATCCTTTTCACAATAATTGCATTTTATGCAATTTTATCCAAAGGATTTGTGTTATAGTCGTATTTCCAACCTGGATCACCACTTCGACTAGATCTTGATGAAGACATCTCAAAATAATACAAGGCTCACAAGCAATCAAAAAAATAAAGTTTTGTGCTTACTTTGATTGCTCGATCTCCAAGCTTTCACCTCTTAGATGTTTTCTAGTGCTAAAATTTTCAAAAATACCCTCTAATAGGTCTAAAAAAACTCCAAAAGTAATCTAATCTCAATGGGTGATGTTTCGATCCATTTCTTGTAAATTTGAGAAACCTTTTGATCCTATAAAAATTCCAAAATCTAATTTTTTGAGGTTTTCCTCTTTTTAAAATGGGCTCTAATGGGGTTTATGTTTCAAATGAAAACCTAAAACCTACCTTTAAAACTTCTTTTTATCCAAAAATTTCCCTCAACAAGGGACATTTTCGCCCCTAGGCGGGGCGCAAGCCTTGCGAAGCCGCCTAGGGCTGGGCTCTGGGCGCCCGTTGCCCTACCATCGAGGAGGCCGCCCAGGGACAGACTGCCTAAGCCTTGGTGAGGCGCCCAGTCCCTCTAGACCGTTTAGGCCCTGGGCGGCTCGCCTTTTGAAATAATGGTACAAATGACAATTGTATACTGGGTAGCAATCCTATAAGGGATATGTGTACATGTATATAAAGAGTCCCCCTTGCACTATAGTAATATGTGCGCATAATTTGCTCTTAAGGGAACAAACTTGTAATCTATATTTCGGGACTGTGGTTATGCTATTTATTGGCCAGCTTTGATGAGCCAATCATGAGCTCCTGTGTGAGACTCTAGGTCATTGGTCTTATTGGGATGGTTTGAGAAAATAGTAGAAGTTCACAGTTACTTAGTTGTGTGAAGTGCCTTAACAATCACTTTTCCTGACCCATTGATACGAATCCATTTCTAGAAATTTTGGTTTCAATGAGGAAATGTTTACGCGATTTTAGAATTTTTCTGAATTTTTAGAATAATTTTCACTAGTGAAATAACCTTTTTTTTTTTTTGAGAAATGTTGACGTTTGTATTGCTATAAGAATGAGAGTACCATATGTTGGGTTAGCCCAAGAGTCCCTTACTAGATAGGACTCTTGGTAAAAAAGGAATAGGTCAACAGACCCTATACAAAATGGGGTTATAAGTTTGCCCCCTTACAAAGTATGCAGTGAGTTTACAGAAAAGAGTTTACAGAAAAGAGAGTAAGAAAGTTGCCCATTCCAGGAGAGGAGTACTCCAAGTCTTTTCCGTTGTGGCCAACACAATGCAAAACATGGTGTCCTAGTCTTCATCATGGGCCTTGGCTCCATCCTTGGCCAGCAGATCCGCGAGCCTGTTTGAGGTCCTCAAGGAATGCATCCATGAAACGGGCATATCCCTGCAAGGGCGTGCAATCTCATCATAAAGAGGTGCAAGATACCAGGAGGGAATAGCTTTCCAAGGTGCCCAAAAAATGATGTTTCGGGCATCACCCTCCACTAATAGGTTTAGTCCCCAAGTTTGATCAAAGTTTTACTGGCCTCTGAGGAGGGCCAAAGATTCGGCATACTGTGAATCTTGGATGCCAAGGTATTCGGAGTAGGTGAAGAGGATGTTGTGTTGGTGGTCTCTAAAAACTTCACCTGCACCTGTGTGGCCAGGGTTTCCAAGGGAGCATCCGTCACACTAGTGAAATAACCTTTACAAGGTATTTTAGAAATTTTTGGAATTGTGGAGGGGCTACAAGGAACATGTGAGGCCCATTGGGGCCTTTAAATGGTCATGGGATCTTATTGGGAAGAATCATTATATTCAATGTGGTACTTGAGGACCATACTAGATTACCTTCTTCCAGTTTATTTTTGTCGGCTGGTTTTTCTTTTCGCTTGACAATTTTTTGTTTTGCCACCTTGTGTTGTAAGTGACATTTCACACTTTAAACTCACCGCATTTATTTTGATGATAATTTGAAACAATTATAATGATTTTTTGCCATTATGTGAGGATGTTTTACCTTTAGTGATGATGTGTTACCATCATCGACATGCTATAAAGAATTTTTTGTTTTTTGTGTCTCTCCTTATTTATTAAGCGCAGCCTAAATCTATTCAATCTCTACTGAAGTCTATTCTCTCTCTGCCTTATGTTTAATTACTTAAAGGAATTCTGCCATAAAATGATCTATTATGTTGATGATTCACACAATATCCACCCGTCGGCATGATTTTTTAAGAGTTTGCACATAAAAGGTAAAAGGTTTTCAAGTTCAGGAGAGGGTGGTAACAGAAAAAGGTTTTGCTTGTTACTTTGTTTTATTTTCGAAGAAGGGGTTATATAAATTTACTGATATAAATGCATATTAGTATGAAAAGCTATATTTTAGAATAACTCGGGTTATATAAATTTACTGATTTAAATGCATATTAGTATGAAAACCTATATTTTAGACGAGTTATTTAGAGTGCAACCCGGTAACTCAAATCTGAAATATTGATCCTAGCTGTATCCTAGAAGTGTACTCGCTGGGATTTGATTGCATATCAAGATTTGTTGAGTCAGGGGCGTTTAACACTTCGAAGATAGCAAGATCATCTTGTGCCCCCAAGATCTCGACCCCAACATTTTAGGGATCTTGCTCCCAAACTTGAAAGGCATACCCTTCACAATAGGAATCTCTTCATTTGGAGTCAATGAGCTGTGCAACTATACTGAAAGTACTGTTGCTGTTTTATCAAACTATAAATATAGAAGATCATCAGTTCAATCTTGAGATGGGGATTGAGATCCCGAAATTTAAAAATCAAAGTCCCTTGAAGTTCCATTTCCCGGAGCGTGGGGTTGAGATTCTGGAGCGGGATTGCCTCCCTAGGTTTGGAGATCCCTGCAACTATGGTTTAGTTTTGTTGTTAGCACTCGTAATTCTTGACCGTTGATAAGGGTTCTTGTTATTTATTTTTCATGTGCAACATATAGCAACTTGAGTAGAGTTTTTGTCAAAAAATGATTAGCCAAACTCTGTCATTTTTTATTTACAAGATGGCCCAAATTACAGGACACAAGCCCGCCTCCAGAGGTTAAGCGACCAATTTTCTATGGATCCTTTGAGACCTACTGCCACTGAAGAGGATTCTAGTGTTAATATCATTAGTGATGTAGAAGCAAATAACGATAATTTGACGATCACAAGGAGTCAGGCCTTGAACCATTTATCGCCAATCAAGAACAGAATGCATGTCAGTCAAGGTACCAGTGAAGATGCAAAATCTGGTTAGTATATATTGCAAGATTTATTTAGGCACTGTTGTTTATTATCAAGAATGTCTTTGAAATCAGATATCAAGACGCGATAGTCTTAAGAACCTAGAGGTTGATATGCCATGCTTGATACAATGCATTGCAACACCAGATAGTTAAGCAGTTTAGCCATCTATAGATCTTCATTTCCATTGTGCATTTTACCTTATTATTATATTTTTATGTCAAAAGGTTCCCTAGTTTGTGTGTAGAAATGAAAGAGAAGTAATGGTTGCAAAAGAAATTAGGAGGAGAAACAAAGCCTCAAAAGAACAGTATGGCATATAGGAGGGGGAAAAAGTAAAATAAGTAGCCAAAGTAGGCAGCCCTACACTTTCTTTAGCCAAATTATAGGTATCCTCAGTGGCCTATCTCAGATTATCCAAAAGGCACCTCCAAACCACCAATTAGTTGAAACAGTTTGATCAGATTAGATGAATAAACCTTTCCGTGCTCATGTGATTGCATTGGGACAATCCCCTTCCTCGAAAAGAGGAAACTGTAGGTGTATCATGCCAATCCTATGGCCTATATTATGATTTTGCGGCTTTTGCTTCAGACATGGAGGCATCACATACTCACCAAGACCAATGCCCAAATGTAAGCTTGAAACTCCAGAATATGCCCTAAGCTGTCAAGAAGAGCATATATCTACGCGATGGAAAGTCAACAGTATTAAAGCTTTTGAATTCTGAGCAAATCAGTGCCCATGAGGTCATCAACCTTTAAGTATCCTTAACATCTCTAGTGTGAATTTTCCCCCTCTTAAAATCTGGTTATTATTTGTGGCAAATGCTCCATATGGTGATCAATGCAAATAGCTACCAAACAAATCTAAGGAACAGGGTCAAACTCCATTGAAACGACCAACCTAGACAACGAGCTGGGCATCACCCACTCGATTTCGTATGTCTGCATCATATGCAAGCAACAAGTTAACAGCGGTTTGGCTTGTTATATATGAACCTTGGTAATGCCTTATTTCATTTGTCTACTCTACCCCTCCCTCAATGTTATGTGGCAGTTGCTGATTCAGTCTCTGTTTTTTTTTTTTGTTTGTAGGGTGGGGGTTGGGGGGATGAATTGAATTGCTGTTTGAGATTGTTGTAACTAAAGGACATTATTAAGTTACTATTTGAAAGAATTTTTTGTATGCATTTAGGAAATTTGCGGAAGCGAGTACGTTCAGCAGGAACAGCCAGAGCAGAGAAATTAATTAAATTGGACAGATCTGCCCCTAAACAAGAAAAGAACCGGGAAGCTGAAGCTGCAAATTCTACTCATGCAAACCACGATGCCGATAGAAGATTAGCTAAAGAAAATAAATCCAACAGAAAAAAGAACACCTGGAATGCTTCTCCTGTCAATAGTATCCCTGCAGACAAGGTAGTTCTTGTTGTTGAACTGTGCTTTCCTTACCTGACGTATCAAGATGTTTTTAATTGTGTTATACTTCAGAACTTATGCTTTCGATAAAGACAATGAAAAGAAAATAAAAATGAAAGCTGGGTCTCAAATTTTTAGTCAGATAGGCTTTGTTGTTGATTTGCTGAGATGGAGAAAATTTTGTGGCCTCGCATTGTTTCCATATGTCAATTTATAATGTGTTTTGGCTAAAATTTTGACATTAATCTTAATTTTGATTTTGACTTTTGTCTTACAACTTTATTGAAACCATTGAAAATGTCGACGGAGGATTCTCATGAGGGAATTTTGGGATTCTGGGAATTTTGGGATTCTGGGAATTTTGGGATTCTGTTCTCTGTTTCTCTTTACTATGTCATGTATCTTTGGTTGTTTTAGTTATGCTATTTTGTATTGCTTTTCTTGTGTTTTGTCTTGAACGTTGTGAAACTTGTGTGAAGTACTTCAGCATTAAGTTTTCTGATACTATATGCTGTTCGAATCATTTTCTCATGTAGCATTTAGTCATATATCCCTAGTCATTGGTTTTTGTTTTATGAGATCCAAGACCTACTGCTCTACTACTTCAATGGTAGGTGAATTCTAACTCTCTCTTCCATATACTCTCTTTATATTTTTCACTTCAATCTATGTTTTCACTTTGATTGGAATTTGTTATTATTGATTTTACTCTACATCATGTGGGTCATGTGTTTCTTCAGGAAGGATGCACAAAATTTAGATAATTTGGCTGCATGAATTCTTTGTTGTGGGGAGGTACTCCCCATCCTTCGCAGTTAGGTTTTATGCCAGCCCAAAGTTGGCGATTTTCCCTCGGTATTCAAAGACTTTTTAAAACTTTCAAAGCTATCTATGATTTGTATATCTGCCTGCATGTGATGGTTTTATCTTTTCTGCGACATGTGACATATGTAAATTGGTTCTACTCTCTCAGCTTAGCTGGTTGAGATTCACCTCTTGAATGAGCTATATTTGCTCATTTGGGTTTCACTCTTTTTGTGGCAATAGGAGTTGTAATTTTTCTTGGCTGTTCAAAATCTCATAAGCATGTTTGTGCGCATGTCTTCGTGCTGGTCTATATGTATGCATTAGCCAAAATGACGACAACAATCTTTTGGAGGAGTATCCTTGCACAAGAAATATGCACTTGCAAAAACACCATCTACATCCATATGCTTGAAACTTCTGCGCAAACTAGTGTTTAAGATATATTTGTCACAGCTTGAGAATGTGGGTGGGTGGGTGGGTCTGTGTGATGTAGAGAAATTTGAGGAAGCAGTAAAATCAGCAAGGAACAAAGCCAAAAATAAGCATAATTTCAAAGAAACTTAGGTTTTCTTTTCCATACCCCAAGCCAGGGTTCCAAAAGCCTAAGCGTTCAATTTCTAAAAATCATGTAGAATGACCCTCTCAAGGCCCCACACACATATGATATGTTATAATTCAATGTTTAAAGGCATTACATGTCCATACAATAATTAAAATTATCCAAAAAGTCCTAACTTAAATGCAAAATTTGTAATGACAGTTTTACCCTTGTGACAATACCCCGTGAATAATACTTGTGAATAATACTTTTGAATAATACTCATAAATAAATAAAAAATATAAAAACCTTAGAATTCCTAAAAAACTCAAAGACCCTAGGAATAAACCCTAAAACTATAAGATACCTTTGGAATTGAATAAAAACTAAAACTTTGAATAATTTTGTCCTCCATCATTCTCCCTTGGTTTGAGAAAACATGTCCTTGAGTTTTGAAGTGTGTTAAGATGAATTCAGCATCAAAGCTACCGTTTTCAACCTTCTTTTCTTTGTCGGCTCAAATGTTATTCGTGGTAAAAAGAATTCCTCAAGAAACGAATCCTGAGATGTATATTGAGGAATCGATGCAAATTCATCAAATATGACTATCCATGAATGCCCATTGAAAATCGTGCGGTAAATTTCAAACCCAAATTTCTGGTCTTTAGAGGTTTTCTCGACATCTATTTCATTAGTTTCTGAAATTAGGGCCACAATTTCCGGCTTATGAGTTGACCGTGTTTTATCTGTGCTACTCTGAGTACCATACCTGAAACTTATTGAATCTATGTCATTGATATCAATGAAATCTTCAAAGGCCATGATTGGTCATTCTTGCTGCTGCCTTCTCTTCATATTCTTCACCCTCTTCCAAAACCTCTTCATCATCATCTTGATCCTTATCATAGATCGGATCCCGTAAATGAACTTATTGTTCATCGGAGTACGTGTCAAAGATTGGTGGTGAATCCCAATCTACAATTTGTTGATTTTCGATGCAATCTGTCTAAATCAAGAATCTCATAATTCACATCGAAAACCTGGAGTGATGTTCCCTACATTTAGGTCTTTTGTCACTATCCTCATCACTCGACTCCCTATGCAGAGCGCGAAAGTGAAAAAGCTTGTAATCGAGATCCTCTTGGGCCAAAAGATCACCCGCTGTCCAATAATGAGGCTCGCGAATTGCTGTGTCGGCTGCTGAACTTACCTTTTGAGTTTCTCAATTTTGTCATTTATGGGATCACGGAGTGGATCTACAAAACCTCCCCTTGCATGGGCCCTTCTTGACGCTATGGGATCACTGAAATCACAAACCTTAGGCAGATGATCAACAAAAACCTACTGAAATCAGCAAGATCTAGGCTTTGTTGTTGATCTAGGGCACAAAAACGATGCTACAGTAATATGCTATAGTACTATACTATAGTACTATTCGTATAGATCACGGGCTCAGATACCAATTTGATGCAATGTCGATGCGATGAAAATTTAAGGAAACAGTAAAATCAGCAAGAAACAAGCCCAACACAAGCACATTTCAAAGAAACCTAGGGTTTCAAAAGGCTAAGCTTGTCTATCTTTCAATTTCTAAAAATCATGTGTATTGATTAGAGAGAAATGCGAGAACTTTTAGAGGTATTGCTAAATCTCTCCCTTCTATCTCAGATTCTTTGATCTCTCTTATTTCCTTCTTGGTCTTTCCTACCCCCCTATTCTCCTGTTTTCCAGCGTCGTCTCTTTGTGGCAGCTGGTTGAGGTTTCTCAATCTGCAATCTTCTAATCCTAGTTTTTCAACCTCTTGGAGTAAGCCCCCACAGGGTACCTTCCAGCTAAATATGGACGGTTCATCCTATGGGAAGGCTGGCCCTTCAGGCTATGGGGGCACCCTTGCAAATTTAGAGGGCATCTTTTGCCACTTCTCGGGCCCCCTGGGAGTCATTGATTCCACTATTGTTGAAACTAGGCATTATTGGAAGGACTAAAAAATTGTGCACTAAATGCTGAACACTTTTCAGCTGTTCAAGTAGAGTGTGATTCTTTAAACGTGATCTAATTGGCTTCCAAGGTTGCACCACTCCCATGGAGACTTACCTCTTACTTTGACCACATCCATTCTCTATGCAGTAACCTCCCTCAAGTCACCTTCAAGCACATCCCAAGGACCCCAAACTCAATTGCAGATAGCCTTGCCAAGGAAGGTGCACATATTTCCTTCCCTGCCATCCTTTTTATTAACCAGGTACGCTAACCTATTCTCTCTCCCCTCAACTCTTTTTCTATAGGCTCTCATCAACCCTATCTTCCTTCAACCTCTCTCTTTCTTCTCAAAAAAAAAAAAGGGTAAAAAGAAGAAAAAAAGAAAAAACAAAGAAGAAACAAAGAGATTAGAACTCCACTGCTGTTTCAATTTTTGGTTACAGTCTCTCTCTCTCTCAAACTTCTCAAACTTCACATCCTCGCTCCTCTGTTTTTCTCTTCTAACCCCTCTGGTTTTCCTCTCTTCTACTCAATCCCTGCTCTTCAACCTCCTTTCTCTGTCTCTCTTTCCATATCTCTCCCCTTCGAGCTCTTTCAACTTCCCCTCTCTCTATCCCACTCTTTTCTGTCTTTGACCTCTGTTTGACTCCCTTTCCAACCTTCCTTTCTCTTTTCATTTGCCTCTGAGATGTTATCCCTCTTCTTCCACATCACTTTCACTCTTTTCTTCTTGCTCCTCTTCTCTCTCCCCCTCGAACTCCACCCCCCCCCCCCCCTCCCCCCCACCTTCTATCCACCACTTAGAAGGTTGCTGGGACAGCTCTTCTGCCTCAGTTGCTGGGACAGCTCCTAGCCCTGGTAACAGCGGGGGTTCCGGCTAGCCTGGGCTACACTTGCGGTGAAAGGACAATCTGTGCTTTCGTGATTTTGGGTCTCTTCTGGTCCCTACCAATATACCTCAAAGGGCTAGCTCATGCATTCTTTTGGCGGTAGAAGACTCGACAACTGGGCTTTCCTCTCTTGCCTCTTGCCTTGTGGACCCAAGGACCAGTCTACTTTCTTTTGTGGCAACTGTATATTTTCCACCTTATGTGGACATTTTTTTGCATCATTATTATAGGTGTTTCATTTCTTATAGGTCTTTTTAGATTTTCAGCTTCTCGCTTTTGTTGTTTTCATTCTGGTTTGCTTCTCCTCCCTCCTCCGTGTATTCTGAGCACCCTTTTTGTGGGATGCCATTTTTTACCACTTCGGTGGCTATGTAATTACCCTGTTGCATTTATACAAGTCAAACAGTTTCAGAAAGAAAAAGATGTATAATAACCCTCTCAAGGCTCCACACACACCTTATATTATTATAATTCAATGTTCAAAGACATTATATGTTCGTACAATAATTAAAATCACCCAAAAAGTCATAACTTTAACACAAAAATTTGTAATGACAGTTTTATCCATGTGAACAGTACCTGTGAACAATTCTTGTGAATAGTACTTGTGAAGAGTACTCATGAATAAATAAATAAAAAAAACCCAAGAAGTCCTAAAAAGTAAAAGACCCTAGAAATAAATCCTAAAACTAAAACTACATGATACATCCTTATAAATTGAATAAAAATTAAAAATAAGAATAATTTTGCTCTCCATCTGCATGTGAGGCTCAGATCGCATGCCT